GGTGCAAATACTATACCTACCCCATCTCGAACCGGATCACTAAAATTGAATACCATATCTGCCTCATTGCACCATCGGTTCGATTTTTTTCGACTCATTCGATTCGATTAATCACAGTTTTCAATTTTTACGATTTGAATTGACATCCCTACTTTAGTGTTGAGCTCGATTTTTAGGGATATAACAAATGATGATCTCAAAAGGGTTCGATTGTCAGGGATGAAACAACCCAATATGGTTTGGAATCGAGCTTCATGTTGAATGGATGAAGATGGGTATGTAAGCCCGGACTAAGAAATAAATTTACTTTCCAAATGTTATTTTAAAAGACGTTCTTACTATAATATAATAACTTTATTGAAAATGACTTTCATTTTATTTTATTTTATTTTATTATTGTTATTTATTATTATTTTTTTCTGTATACAGTTCTTCAATTAAATTGGTCAAAATTGATACATAGTGGGTGACGTGAATCTCTCAGAGGCAATCAACAATTGGTTGGCCTTGGATACAATTATTGAAAAGGGTTTTTCAAGAATAATAATTAAAAATTAGTAAAGCAAATTATCACTAATGAAAATTTCTTCAGTGAATAACCAACGGTAGATATGATGGAAATTAATATAAGTGGACGATATAGGCAAATTATTAATAGTGATACTGTTGATGATCATTGATACACTTCTGTCGGTTATTATTCATTTAATGATATTTTCCTAAAGCCCAACAACTAATTACCAAGAATCCAAAACAAAACAGGAAAAAAAATAAAAGAAGCAAAATTGAGAGCACGCCGCATAGATATGTTCGCCCCCAAAGAGTTGGAGTTAGGACTGTCAATCGATCGGATATGGATCGAATCTGCTAAAATTCGATCCGACCCAATAATCCGATGAATATTTGAATGTTAAATTAAAATTCGATTAGCTATGTCCGATAACCTGATCCGAAATTGAAAAAATTAGAAAAATAAAATTTTTGTTTATTTTTTCATTAAAAATCATAGTTCAACAAGATTTTAATTAATTATTTATTTAAAAAATATTTGAATTATTTTGATGGGCTCACTTATTATATTAGAATGCCCAATTTTTATTTTATTTTTTATTTATTTTTATTTTTTATCGATGTGATGCTCCTTTTAACTCTTTTTTAAAAGAGACTTCTTTTGAAATATTTTAGTGATATTCCAATATGGGATACTAGCTTTTTAAGGGATTCTCTTCTTCCAATGGTTTAGTGATATTTCAATGTGGGATACTAATCATAATCATTTGTTAATTCTAAGTATTTACTAGCTTATTTTATTATTTTCATAAAAAATCATAGCATCAATAAGATTTTAATTATAAATAATATCAATTTGAACAAAGTAACTTTTTTGGACATATTAATTGTTAGTTTTTTGTGTTAAAAAACATTGCTATAGTAAATCGAATCAATAAATTAATTATTAATTTTATCTTATTTTAATTAATAAAAAATTAAATCTCTTCAAAATTTTCAATTATAAATATTATACTATTTATTATTTAAAAATTACGTGTAAAGTATCATACAATTTTCAAAATGAAAAAAGCAGTGTCGCGACAATATAAAAAATATAATATATTATTATAATAAATTGGATAGGGTTGTTATCCGATCGGATTGACCTATATCCATATTTGTTTCATTTAGTTAACGGATTATCGAATTTGGATCTCGATTAGGTTATCGGATTGAAACTCTAAATCAATCTCCCATTAATTTCATCGGATTCAGATTAAAATCCAATCTATTGACAGCCCTAGTTGAAGCATGGAATTCTCCATTTCTTGGTCATTGGAACATTGGTGTAGATTAATGCTTTGCACAATTTTTAAATGAAGCCAATATACGACCCTACAACCTTTTGAACACACAACAAACCGCATTTGTTGTTCTCTATTGTAAATCAATCTTGATTGAACCACTATAGTTTCAAGCACTACAATTTACACAATCGTCTCTTAATATTACTACTCAATCACACATATTTAATAAGAATTAAGAGAGAGAGAGAGAGAGAGAGAGATGTTCAATTTTTTCTTAGTTGATCTAACGACTACCACCACTGTATGTCCTTTAGTTGTTGCAACATGCGTGGAATAGAATGTAACCGCCCACAATATGATTTTTCCACGTACTAATTGGATGGAATAGCGTAAAGTTTTGCTGTGATATATCCAATATCGATATTCGTCCCACGATTGATCCAGGCCAGACTATTGGAATTTAGTTGTTTCTAGTTAAAGAAGGAAGCTCAATCTTTATATTCCAAACTGTTTAGAAAATTCGCATAACATGGTTTAGTTTTAGATCATTTGATGATGTGGATTGTAACAATACTAAACCATGAAGAAAACAAAACAGAACTTAAATTTTTTCTATAATTATCTAGTTTTATCCAGAGCTGTGTACTAAAATACTGTTCGAGTTTCAGCATAGTCATAATATACAACAAAATACTTCGATATTCTACAAATTTTCTGCCTGGCTATTTTGTTGAAGAACCTGTCCTGAAATGGCAGCTGCAAGTGCTGATTTGAAATTGAGATCTTGTGTTAAGGTGGAAGCCATTTGTTCCACCAGATACTGTTGGAATTGTGTACCCATTTTTCGGATTGAATCAGTAGCTGGCTTTGGTTTTGTAAGATCAAGTGTAATGGTCTGCGCAGACGAGTTTAGAGAGGTCATCGAGCAAGGGACCGTGCTAAGTGTTACCACCCGGCTGGAGCTAGAAGCTTGCTTGGGTTTCAAGGGGGGAGGATGGTTGTGCTCTCCTTCATAAGTTGCTACAAGAATAGACTGATCCTTTATACTTCTTTGAACCTGCATAAAGACCATGTAACAAACAATTACAAATAAAAAAATCTTGAGAAAATTGAAGAAATTCAAGAACTGTTGAAAAGGATTAATTTGATTCGATCTACTTTCGAATTAAGTTAAAATCTATTCAATTATAGCATTCAATTCTATCTACTACTGTGTACCAAACATTCGTTAAATGCTTACCGCCGTTGGTACCAACATTCAACTTAAGTCTTATTTAAGGGGAAGGTTATGAGTTCGAATCTTGGGGGACGCGACAGAAAGCCGTGAGGGGTAAGTGGGCGCAAGACCCATTCAAAGCAGACAGTACGTAATCTAACGGCTTGAGCGAGAGGTCTGGGTCGTTACACTAGCCTCATTCGAGGTGTTCTTTGCCGATACATGTATCTATGGACACTAAATTTCTCGAAGGTGTTTAACATTCTGATAAGAATTATTCTTCACTTTGTCCTTGGAAGTTACTTAGTGATGAAGAAAAATGTCTATGCTTTGAAAAATTTTAAATTCAGTCTAACTTTATGGAACGCTTAAGGAAAACTCCAAATATGGCGACAAAACTTTTCAACATATGGGAATTACTTTTTGGGATTTCGATAATGATAATTATCTCCACAACCCTGAAACAATCGAATAATTGAAATGCCATGAGAACAAGAAAATGTGAGAATGTCATTGAGTTGAGCTGAAACTCAAGGCTCAGGCTTGGAAAAGTAAAATGAAGTCGAGATGTTTTTAGTCGAACCGAGCTGAGCAAAAGCTCAACCAAAAAATCGAGGTTCCATCCGAGGTTTACGCTCGAACCTTGTCGAGCCGAGTCGGCTTTACACACACACACACACACAAGCTGCCTTTTATTTTAACGAGCCACATGGACTGGCTCGGGCTCGGTTCTACCGAATCTCGATCCGGGTCAACTCGAACTTTTTTCTGGCTGAATCATAAGCCGATGAGCTAAATTATTATCTTTTAGCAAATGAGAATTAAACCACTATATGTCCTTTAGTTGTTGCAACATAGGAGTTGTTTTTCCTTCACACCTTTTAGCCCATATTTATTGAGTGAAACATGACTTTTATAATCGACAATAACTTTATCGGTGGTGATGTCGGCAATTGACAGACATTTTTTCGTTCAAACCTATTAAAACTAATGGTAACACCAATTAGGATGTGAGAGGTTCAACTCAATAAACACATAACAATGGCACCACAAATCTTAGGCCTCTAATTTGACAAGAAAATCACATAAAAATGGCATAACAATTAAGAGTTCAAGAGGCTTGGTAAGAGAATTTGAAACAAGAATTCAGTCTCATTCGAGGTGTTCTTTGCTGATACATGTATCTATAGATACTAAATTTCACGAAGGCGTTTACCATTCTGATAAACATTATTCTTCACTTTGTCCTTGGAAATTACTTAGTGATGAAGAAAAATGTCGATACTTTGAAAATTGTTCAATTCAATCTCACTTTATGGAACGCAAAAGGAAAACTCCGAGTATGGGGACAAAACTTTGCTACATATGGGAATTTAATTTTTGGGAATTCGATAACGATAATGATCTCCACAACCCTGAAACAATCAAATAACTGAAATGCCATGAGATTTATTACGTGAACAAGAAAATGTGAGGGTGTCAATGAGTCGAGTAGAAATTCAAGGCTCGGGCTCGAAATAGTAAAATTAAGTCGGGCTTTTTTTTTGCCGAACCGAGCAAAAGCTCAGCTAAAAAATCGAGGCTCTACCCAAGGTTTTGGCTTGAGTCTTGCCGAGCCGAGTTGGATATATGTATGTATGTATATATATATATATGTGTGTGTGTATATATATATATATATATATATATATATACACACACACACACACACACACATATATATATATATATATATATATATATATTAATGAACCACATGGGTTGGCTCGAGCTCGGATCTATCGAATCTCAATTCGAGTCTACTCAAACTTTTTTTGGGTTGAATCACGAGCCGACAAGCTATATTACCATCCCTTAGCAAATGAAAATTAAACCACTGTATGTCCTTTAGTTGTTGTAGCATAGGAGTTGTTTTTCCTCCACACACCATTTTGCCCATATTTATTGAGTGAATCATGACTTCTATAATCCACAATAAATTTGTCGATGGTGACGTCGCCAATCGACAGGCATTTTTCCGTTCAAACCTATTAAAACTAATGGTAACACCAATTAGGATGTGAGAGGTTCGACTCAATAAACACATAACAAAGGCACCACAAATCTTAGGCCTCCAATTTGGCAAGAAAATCACACAAAAATGGCATAATCATTAAGAGTTCAAGAGGCTTGGTAAGAGAATTTGAAACAAGAATTCAACCTCATTCGAGGTATTCTTTGCCAATCCATGTATCTATGGACACTAAATTTCTCGAAAGTATTTACCATTCTGATAAGCATTATTCTTCACTTTGTCCCTGGAAGTTACTTAGTGATGAAGAAAAATGTCGATACTTTGAAAATTGTTCAATTCTTTCTCACTTTATGTAATGCTCAAGGAAAACTCCGAATATGGAGACAAGCAACATACGGGAATTTAATTTTTGGGATTTCGATAACGATAATTGTCTCCACAACCCTAAAACAATCGAATAATTGAAATGCCATAAAATTTATTATGTGAACAAGAAAATGTAAGGATGTCAACGAGTCGAATCGAAACTCAAGGGTTGGGCTCAGAAAAGTAAAATTAAGTCGGATTTTTTTTTTGGTTGAGCTGAGTTGAGCAAAAGCTTGGCCAAAAAATAGAGGCTCGACCCTTGCCGAGCTGATAGAGTCGGCTCTTTTTTTAAAAAGAATAATATATATATTAAGGTTCAGCTTGAGGCCAAAATGGGGTTCGACCCGAGCCTCGGCTCCCTTCTACCAAATCTTGAGTCAAGTCAACTCGAACTTTTTTCGAGCTGAATCAAGAGATGCTCAAACCGACGAGCTAAATTACCATCCCTTAGCAAATGAGAATTAAACCTAGATACTTAGTAGCACTTGAACTAAGAATTATATCATTGACAATCTATTTGGTGATGCTTCAATTGGTGGAAGTCGACAAATAAGCATTTATAGTTTTTATTTTTAATATTTCATCATGTTCATCAATGATTACTAATGTCCTTCCATGATGTCATTGGCAATCACCGACACTAAGGTACACATAAAAAACTATAAAATAATATATTCAATCTTTTTTTTTTTTTTTTGATAACCCAGGTGTCCCAACTTAGCCGGACTAAATCCTGGACCTCTAGCCCCCGGCCCCTCAGTGACTAGTGGAGGTAAATCGCAGGTTATGCCCTTGTTGGTTCCCAAGTTCCCACATGGCTTTTACTCCTTCCCCAAAGGGACCCTCTTCCATGATTATTACATCACCAAGCTGCTCCAACCCTTCCTCTGGTTATTACATCACTTGGCTGCTCCAACCAGGAATCGAACTCCCCACACTTGGGTTCAGAGCCCCCCAATGTGATTGTTCCGCCAACTTGGATGTGCCCTGGGAGGCTTAATATATTCAATCTTTACAATATTCTAAATGGTTAACCAACTACTATGTCTCATAAAACAATTATTAGTATTTTGTTGAAGCCTCCAATCAATCCTTGAGCAACTACGATTTTAAACTTAACCAGTATTTCTCCCAAATATTCAAATATTATGATGAATTTCTCAAAAATTGCTAGATAATGCATGTTTGTTATGCTTTTGAATAGTATAATGGATAGCATTTTAACTTCTATTTCGTTCTTAATATTGTCCAATACAATTAAACCCTCTTGCCGTACATACCAAAAGCGGATTGCACTAACTCGTGTAGTACTTAGTGTGAAAATAACCTAATGCTTACCAGGTGAAATTGAATCAGACTCGAGTTGTTTAGAACAATATTTCAGAGTAACTGATTTTCTGCCATATTTCGTCTTTATAATTCCTTGTGTTTAAAAGAAGAAATCAGGGACTTTCCTTTCACTTCCACAAAATAAATTGAATGAATTTGCCTAAAATTCGATGCCCAACTTATTTTTGGAATTTCATTTAATCTTTTATTCCATAATTATTGGATTCATTGTCAGACTCAAAGTTTTAGTTAAAAGAGAGAGAGAGAGAAAAAAAAAAGAAGAAGAAGAAGATCATATTGACATGAAACATTTATCATTACGTTGTTCATTTAGCATCCAAGCAGGTATTTATCTTGCTAAGTGTATAAAACTTATATCTTCTTATTTCATAATTTTTTTTATCGTCTCTTTCAATGCTTGTTATTTTCAAAACTTATATCTACTTATTTACAGTAACGGATCCAGAATTTTGTGTCAGCACAGGCGACCGCAGACCGTCGGCCCAATAAAATATTACAAGCTCGTTTGATGTAAATTTTTTTTTTTGGCAAAAAATGTATTTTGGATTGATGGAAAATATGTGGTTAAAAATAAGGAAAAATTTTGAATTTTGTGTAATATTATTTTATTGAAATATATATGGTTGAAAATAAAAGAGAGAAAAATATATTCTGAAATAAATGGGAATCAAACGAGACCTAAAATTTAAATATAACAATTATTTTGTTGAAATTAAACATATATAATTTTGTTAAAAAAATAAACTGTATTCATCAAATGACATTGTTGTCAAATTTTATATAATTCAAAAGAAGAGCTCGGGTTCAAATCTTTATTAGTGCATTAAAACAAGCTAAGATCTAATATATATATAAATGTTAAGTCCATTGTCCCAATTCAACAACCGGCATAATGGTCAAACCATTAGTAATTTTAACAATAGCTCCAGGTTCGAATCCCCCTTCTCCTCATTCCATTAATATTTGGTAAAAATTGTAAAACTAAAAAAATTGAACAATAAAAGTTGATTGGTAAAGGATCGAACTTGGGACCTACAAGATGTAAGTACCAATGCTAACCAACTTGGCTAAAAGCAACGTTTGAATGAAAAATGATTATTAGTAATATAACTTAAAAATTTCATCTATTCTCAACTAAAAAAACTGGTTGCCGGCGAATCCAGCACGCATGGCCGCGAGTGCTCGCTAGGTATTGGATCTGCCAGTGCTTATTTGTCCATACTAGGGTTTTTTCATAATTTTTTTTTTTTCACGCTCAACCTCACTTGGATTTTTTTTCCAGAAATCGTTGTATCAAATGGGAACGGAAGAAGCCTTCATTTATGAGGATAGCAAACAACAATCTTCATTCATGCATTGAAAATGGGTCAAGATTGGTGCAAGTAAATAATTGATTCTTCCATTAAAAAATTTCTTCTCTCAATAGTTACATACAAGTCTATGGAACATAGAAAGGCAAGATGTACATGATGTATATGGTTCGGATGAACCAAATTCTCATTGATTTGATTTTTCCTTTAGAAGAGGCCCACACGTGTTTTGCAAAAAAATTATTGTGAGGCCCCTACACATCATTTTTTTTTACAACCGTATTAGCATCAAACTTGGTTGAATCAAGCAAATTTTCATGATGAGGAACATTATACCTATGGTACTTACTTACCATTTGATTCTTCTGAGAATCAATTTTCATGTTGAAGAAGAAAAAATCATATTTACCATTAAATTTAAAATAGCTTATGATATACTGCAAAAATTTATATATATAATATATACTACATATTATGTAAAACAACACTAAAAATACCTCATTGTAGCTAATTAATCTTCTTGGAATTTCTTAATTCCTTAAACAGCCCGTTAATTAGTTTTGAAATGTTTCATTTATCAAGCTAATTTATGCTATTTTGCTTTATCAAATTACTCATTTTTCCTTAAAAACTAAATGTACTTCCAGAATTAAAAGGTGGATAGTAAAAATGAATTTAGAATTTATATTAGTACCAAATGTAATTTGCATATTTCATAGAGATAATTATTTTGGGCTTTCAAAACATTTTTGAGGTCCCCTTATAACCAGAGGCCCAAGGCCACTGCCTAGGTGGCTTTGGGCCAGACCTGGCCTGTCGGCGAGTGCACGCAGTGGTGGTGGTGTGTGCGATGAAAACGGCACAAGAATGATAGGCATCCTTCACAAACAACACCAAAAACCAAGAAGGGGAAGAAAACAATTGATATTGAAATTGATAATTGACTTGAATTTGGGGATTGGTTTGTGCATGTGATGTATAGTCAAGAGTATTTTAGTAAGTTACTAGTCTCTTATTTAATCCTCATTTCTTGAAATACATTTTTTTTCAAACTCGTTTTTAATCGAGTAATGCTTTTTAACACCAATTAGACTGGTGTTATAGCACTTCTAGTGCTAGGCAGTATTATTATTCTTTTCAATCACACATATCAACTTTTTGACAACGTTTTTTATTAGCTTCCATTTAAAAACATACTAGAAATCTAACTTTTAGTAAAACCAAAAATGGGCTTTTTAGGTAAAAAAAAATATTTATGTTTATACTATTTTTCTAATCAAAGGCTATAATTATAAATTTTGTGATAACTATTTGACTTAATTTCGCGTCATTATTTAAGAATTGCTTATTTAGCAATACAAAGTCAAACACACAAAGAAAAATATGGAAGTTTTCGTCGAAGGTGAACTCAATGCACCTACCCACGCATTGCCTCGTCCATGGAGTTCTTAGCACAATGCAATGTTCGCAAGGCCAAGGAATCCAACCTATCATGCCAGGTCCAGGTCAAGCGCCGCACCGACAAATACCCTCCGATGATCATAGTTTATTTCGTCAATAGCATTGAAGAAACCTTTGATGCCACGTCTATCCCCGCCCCAAGAATTCGCAACTTGATTCCCAAAATAGGGTTGCTGCTTGAGAAGGAGCATATGTTTCAAGAAGTTGGTGAGAAATGGGATTAAGGTAGGGGTGTCAATGAGTCGTGTCGAGTCGACTCGTAAGCCGAAATTCCCGGTTAGGGCTCGTCTCTGGCTTTTCTAAAGCGAGCTTTTTTTGGCTCAAGCCGAGCAAAAGCTCTGCCAAAAAATGATCCGAGCTTTCGGCTCGGACCTTACTGAGCCGAGCCGCGATGGCTTGATTTTTTGGATTTTTTTTTTTTTTAATTTTCTCCCCTCTTAGCTACCAAATAGGCAGCATGGTAGCTAAAATAACTGCCAAACAGGCAAATTTTTTCTTTCTATTTTTTTCGTGGGCCGGCCCAACTTGAGCCTATTCCCCCAAAATGGTGCTCGGCTCGAGCCTTGGACCTGGCCGGTTCGGGCTTTTTTCGGGCCTAGCCATTGGCTGTCCGAGTCGACGAGCCCAATTATCATCCCTAGATTAAGGTAATGGGTTGATTACTTGCCTGTTTTTGTGGGATTTGTGTTTTGCATTGACTAGGTGGAATAGCGTGATGATTAGTTTTTGTTTTTTTGGTCGAGACAATTAATCGAACATGTTGACTCTGTACTATTTTGAGGTCTAGGGTTTCAACTTTATTCTTGTTGTGCTTTAAGTTATAACAATTTCTGAACATTTTAATTAAAAAAAAATGCTGTCTATATGGTGTGATTGGCTGAATATTTGGTAGGTTTGGGTTTTCATTGAGACAATTTGTCAAACAGGTGGCATATGAGTCCACCTTTTTTATAATGAAGCAAGAAAAGAAATAGGCTTCGCTAACCCTGAACAATCAATCGTGATAAGAGAATGTTGTCCATTAATATGTATAAATTAAATTACATTTAGTGCAATCCTTAATATAACTTGCTTTTTTAATTTCTATAAACCAAACAATAAATATTTCATTAAGTCCTCATTTGGCCCTCATTCTGTAGAAATGAAAATGGTTGGAATATTATTATTATTTTTTTTTTAAAAAAATGAGTGGTTGAAAAAGAAGGAAATTTTTTTTATTTACGTGTAATATTATTTTATGAAAGATTGTGTGATGAAAAATAATAGAGAGAAAAACATGAAATGAAATTGAATGGAAATTAATGGAGGCCAAACGGGGGCTAAGATATTCCATCGTGAATAGCAGACATTAAAAACAACGGTATACAATCAATCTAGCTTGTAAAATGTATTAACAATAAGCAGGGATATTAAACCATAGGCCTCAAAACTTTCAAAAATATGCATATCAATCAAAACTTTAATCTAGATTCCAAATCTTTCAAAACTGTGCAGCAGAAAGACCTTTGTATTGTTTCCATTCAAAAGTTCGTTAGTTTGCTAAAAGTTAAATTTCGATCATAGTTTGACCAATTTTAAAATGGACAAAATGGTATTTTAACTTTTAATTAATTGAAAAGGGAAAATTTGCAACGGAGGTCTCAAATCTTTCATTAATGAGCAAAGGTCAAAAACCTTTTACAAATGTGCAACGTAAGGATCGACACACGGTTTTTGTCCAAAAATCTATCAATTTGCCGTCAAAGGTGGATATTTGGAAGTTGCTTCTATTATGTTGATACTTAATTTTGGTTAAAAATTGATTATTTTAAGATAAAACTCGATGTTTGATTGTCGATGAAGAAATTAAGCATAAACCAAATGAATTGGAATAAATTGTAAGATTTGAAAGATGAAGGACCTATGATGCAAAGAAGAAAGAACTTGAAATGGATCCAAAGAGGATATTTAAGAACTGATTTGAACAAGACGATTGCAACTAGAGAAAAACAAGAATCGACGTGTTCTAGGTGTGAACCGTGTGATAAAAATTCTCTAAACCATCTAGTCGCATGACTATATGAGACAGACTCTCTTCTAGTCTAATTAGAGTTCTATTTGAAGGGAAGACGAGACACAAATTTTACCCTGATCTTAGGAATAGAGAAGAGGATTTTTTTGGAATCCAAATGAGATTACTTTTCTTCACAAAAATATAATCGTAAGCAAATTCAATACCTTTACATGGATTTTGAAAGAAGAAAATGAAAATACAAGATCACTTAAAATTTGGTGAAGAGATTCAGGAGTTCACGAGTTATTTTCCACTTTTTCTCTATAATTGAAACTCGGGTGATATATTATTATTCCAAATAGTGTTCGTCTAATTTTATAATGTTCCCCTAATTGTCTAGAAACTAGGATAACGATGAAACCTATATTTTAAAATTTTAGTATTAATGTCAAGAACTTGATGTTAAATACTTTTTTGGTTTGAATAGTTGTTAGGTTATTAATGCTTTCAATTCTATAATTGAATAGATTTGTGGTTTTATTATGTTCGAGAGAAGGAATATGAAATATAGTACATAGTAACAAACATTGTAAAGTTGGATAGTGATAAAGATATATATTGTTATGCTTTGTATATCTTATTGTAAATATTCTTGGAATTTAGTTCATTTGCATCATTTATAAAAATATAGTAGGGTCATATAAGAGAATAATTTTAATATTTCTCGATGACTATTAAATAAATAAGGGAACATTGATCGTCAAATCTAAATTAGCCCTTGTTTGGACCCCATTATCTAAAACTCAATTTCTTTTTTTAATGCATTTCAACCACACTTTTTTTTTCGATAAAATAATTTACTTGTTAACTAAAAACTTTTACTTATTTTGTAACAACACATCTCCAAAAATACTATTACAAAAGTCTTTTATTTACAAAAAAATGAAGCTCAAACATAATGCAAATATAGTCAATTACTTGAGCTGATACTATAATAGAAGAATATAAGGAATTCGAGGTGCCAGTGGCTTTAATTATATAAGTTTTCAGCAAAGTTTGATGGTTAAAAGTCCTATATTGTTAGTTATTGAATTAGATTTACATTTCCCAATATCCATAAAATTGTTCTGTTTCAATTAAAGTTAAGAAAAATTGCAGCGGAGGTCCCCAAGCCTTTCATTTTGCTGCATATTACAACCTAACCTTTCATTTCTGCGGCCATAATCCCAAACCTTTATATTTAACTGCATCCATGGTCCAAATCACTGATTCCATCCATAATACCGTTAGTCAATAGTAAAATTGCAATTTTGACTCAAACTGACAAATTAAGTGAGGGACAAATGGTATATTTACAATTTTCATAATAAAAATAATTAAAAAACAAAAGCATTGTTCATCTTGCCCAACCTCCCCACCCCTACTAGAGATGGCAATTTACACCCCCTCCCCCCCGGGCCCCGAACCCACACCGTGAATATTAAATTTTTTTATATTGTTTTTTCGAGTGTTTTTTTGAATATTGATGTTAATTTAAGCATTATTTTTTTTTTTAAATTTTGGATTTGTATTTTATAATTTAATAGTACAACTCGAAAATTTGAAAAAATAAAATAAAATAAAATTAAATAGGGTAGTAAACGGGGCAAAAAATGCCCCGACCCCACGCCGCCCCGTTGCCATCACTACCCCCTACACCACTACCCTCAACACCTCAACCCAAATTAAATCAGAATTCCACCCCCAGTCATCACTGTCACGGCCACCGCATATCATCGTAGTAAGAGTGGGACAGTGGAATACAAAAATAAACAGTGGAATAGACCCTCGCTCTCAATCATAAGAGAGAAGTCTAATACTAAAGGGATACATTCAGAGAGAGAGAAGCTGTGAGCATTTTGTCTCCTATTGTACCTCCAATATTGATTCATTTGGGCAATTCATTTGGGGGTTTACAAGATTTCATTTATGTTTGGCATTGAGGAATTTTTTTAATCATTATGGAAAATAATGCAAAAGATTCATCAACAGCCTTAGGGTCACTACTAAAATAAGCGAATGAGCTATTAAAGAAGCTCCAAGAATTAGAAAAGAACATGCCCAATTAAAGCAAGGGATGTCTAAGCTCATGAGTTCACCACAATCAACTATGCATCAAAATTACATGTAGAGGTCCCATTCCATTTCCCTTTAATGGATATCGTATGGGAGGGCCAATGGCGAAGATGGTGGCGGCATGGAAGAGAGGTTCTGCATCATTTTGGCACTCATCGCCTTTGCAGCACAAGAGTAGTAGCAAGGATTTGCAAAGTGACTGTAATTGTGGAGGTGGAGGGGCTAGTAGAGGAGGACGGTTAGCGACTGTGAAGTTCACATGAGTTAATTGTTCCAATGGTCACTGAACCTATATTCATATCTTCGATTGTTTAGTGAAATTTAAAATGTCGAGTTTTAACTACTGAATTTTGAAAAATATTGTATATTACTAACTGAATTTGAAAAATACTGTATATTACTCACTTTAAACATGATACTTTTTAAAGTTAAATAGTTATGCTAGTGAGTAACGTACGGCATTTTCCAAAGTTCAATGGTCAAAATTTGATATTTTAAACTTCTGTAACCAATCGAAAACATAAACCTAAGTTCAGTGATAAAAACTTGAAGACATGGACCTAAGTTCAGTAACCATTAGAACAATGAACTCAGTTCATAGATAAGCAATATTTGAATATATTGCAGTTAATAGGATATATATATATATATATATATATATATATATTAATTATTTTGTTATGAAAATTGTAAATATACCATTATGTCCCTCGCTTAATTTGTCCATTTGAGTCAAAATTGCAATTTTACTTTTGACTAACGGAATTATGGACGGAATCAGTGATTTGGAACATAGTTGCTGTTAAATATAAAGTTTTGGGACTGCAATTGCAAAAATGAAAGGTTATGGTGTAATATGAGGCAAAATGAAATGTTTGGGGCCGTCGCTGCAATTTTCCCTTATAGATAATATTATTTAAAATGTAATTAATTACATAATTCTCGTGTGAACGATCTTTTATTCACTGTTAATT